AATAAGCTGCAACTGCCCCAAACAGACCCTAAATTTCATATTTTGATAAACTTCTTATTGCAAATGTTTGATGCATTTTGCTTTTTGCTCATGAATGTTGAATGCCGTCAATTTTATTCTCATTTTTAACTTGATTAAATTTGAAATATAGTGGGCATGGTATCAAGAAGAAAAGCCATAAATCATATGCCATGTGAAACTTTTCTCTCGAAAGGGTTGGCATAGCTCGAGTGGTAGATAGGATTAGAGAAAGTCGTCTTAGATGGTTCTGTAACATTAACGTCGATCATTTGATGATTCGATTCGGAGATTAAATGTTTTCGATTCAACTTATGTTAAAGAAAGACAGAGGTAGAGCTACAAAGACTTGCATGTAAATATGAAAGTTTCATTATTAGTTATGTCGATACATTCGTTTCTAGAGTAGGGGTTAGTTTGAAAATATTGATGTTTCACGGGTCCGAATGTAATGATGCCAAAGTGGTGTGTATAATTATAAATATCAAATTACAGATAGTTGGATATATATGTAAATAAATCACATTTAACGTTTAATTTTATTAAAAAATAAATTACAATTTAGCCCTCATCAAATAATGAACTTTAATTAACACATATCATGTATAATGTAAGATTAAGAATCGTATATACCTAAAATTTTAAAATCTTATTACAAATATTCTAAATCCTTAAAATTAGAATAAATATCTAATTACCGCCGTAGAGATCACTAAGGGGGAGAGAGATTGAACGGCTGAGATCTTTTTGGCTGAATTAGGCAGAATCAACAACGGCCGTTGATTTCCTGGAGTGTCGCTGATGGAAGGTGGAGATGCGATCGTGGACGGTGTGGTAACGGACGGTGGTGGTGAGTCCTCGTTTACTGAAGCTGCCGAAGGTAAAAAATGCGCGATAAATAATATTGGATTGAAACTGAGACGTTCGATATTGATCCTACGGCTATGATGGAAGAGTTTGGATATCTTACGAAGAGGAGGTTGTGGGGGCAGTGGAGGAAGCGAGGGGGCATAAATGACTGGCCCTGTAAGGTAAAAAATAATAAATAAATAAATAAATAAATAAAT